GCACAGCTGGGAGGGCACAGCCCCACACGTGCCCAGGTGAGGCACAGCTGGGAGGGCACAGCCCCACACGTGCCCAGGTGAGGCACAGCTGGGAGGGCACAGCCCCACACCTGCCCAGGTGAGGCACAGCTGGGAGGGCACAGCCCCACACCTGCCCAGGTGAGGCACAGCTGGCCCACACCTCCTCAGGCTTGGGCACCTGCACGCCCATGGCAGGGCAGTCACCAGGGGGGCACTTTCAGAAGATGCTGAGTTAAAGAGAAGGGAATGACTCCTAATTCCACAGGAATGCCTTTGGAAGGATGAAATTTCAGCTAGTTTTACCTTTCCCTCACTAAAACAGAGCAGAATGTTTATTATTCTCCTCCCTTCTGCTCCCCTCCTCTCCCTTCCTCTCCCCTCTCTCTCTTTTTTCCCTGACTTCCATGTGCTGCTCTGGAGTGTTTTAACTCGGGTGTTCAATACCAGCACAACTCTGCACACCCTGTGCCTGAGGAGAACCTCCAGGCTGGGACATTGGCAGGCAGGAGCCCCATTCCCAAGGCTGCAGAGCCAAGGTGCTGAAGGAGGAGGGGATGGAATGATCCCCAGTCTTTTTTAAGGCCCTCAGCCTGAAGAACAGGCAGTAGGATATGACCTGCTCTAGGCTCTGACATGCTGGCCAGGAGCTCCAAGCTTTTTTGTGGAAAAGCTAGCCCCATCCTGGCTATTCTGAGCATGAATTCATCATATCCACACGGTGTCTAAGGGTACACCAGGGCATGTTTTCCTTCAGGTGTAGACTAAACCCTTGTGCTGTGCTCTGTTCTCGCTCCAGGCAGCACAGCCAGCAGGTAGCTCAGGGATTTGAGGGGGAGTCTGAGGCTTCTGCCATGTCACCCCCTTTCTGAGGGCTGTGGGCCCCAAGCTGTGGTGCCACTGAGCATTTAATGTATCTCTCAGGCTACAACAAAAAGAGATTTTCTTGACTGCAGCCCTGTCCTCCCCTAATTCGCATTTAGGGATTAATCTCATAGCACAGCAAGAGCCCAGTGCACAGACTGCTGCTCCTCAGCTTCTCCAGCAATCCTTAGCAATACCAGGGAAAGCCTCTGGAGTGTCAGATACCCTGATTTTATCCAAAAGGCTCCTATAGTTTGCCCCCAAACCAAGCACACTGTGTGTGGGACCTGCTGTTCTGCCAGGACAGGGAGAAGGAGTCTCTTTGTGAATGGAAGCTCTCAGGGCTATGGACAGAGAGGATTGATTGGGTCCATGTCCCAGCTCGGGAGACATTGGCATCTCCTGGGAGTGGTACCCACTCACCACACCTAAAAATATATTGCACCATGGCCACAGGAGACACATCTTACCCATCTTGCATGATTGAAATCAGTGTGGACTGTGGGTTTGACCCTGTGTGACAAACAGATTTTATTTTTACTCCTTCTGGAGTAAAAATGGCCATTAACTCTGCCAAGGGCTGGGAACAGGCTGAGGCTTTGGCCTCTGAATCAGGCCTAGGTGTGAAATGTAGCTCAGATGAATGGTTGTGGTGCAACTGCCAGGTTAAGAGTTAACGTGTCCTAAGAGCTGCTTTCATGGTATTAAACCATTTATGTTCCTCTAGTGCTCCACAAGCCAGTCATGATCCCATTGGACAGACACTGACTAAGAGGATGGTCCCTGTTCTGGAAAGCTTAGGATAAGGTCTTTTGCTCTGACCAACAGGACATTGGTTGAGGTGCAGGAGACCTGGGTTCAGACTCCTGGTCCCCCAGCTGGGTGTTTGACCTTGAGGAAGGTGCTGTGCCCTGAAGTGCTTTGATTTCTGCATGTACAAGGTGCAGATGATCATGAAGGTGCAGGGAAAGGTCTGGCAAAGGCTCTGCAGTGCCACCTGTGCCATCTATGCCCTTTGGCCAAAGGAGCTCCTTCTGATACTTCTGATCTACTTGGGAATGTGCAACCTGTTACAGACCTCCAAGGTGGGAGGTTTGCCATCTCCACACAGCCTCTGCCAGTTCTTCCCTTGCATTAGATTTTGCTGGGTTGTGGTTCTTTTTTTCCTCCAAAAGGCTGTATGGAATTTCTCTTGCCTTTATAGCTTTTGATAGAAACATGTTTTACTTTGGGCTTCGTGATTTTATGTGTTTCTGCTGTTGACTTGTATGTGTGATTCATTTTTCATGTTCTTTTAACCTTCTTCTTGTGACTGAAATCCATAAAAGCTTTTGCTTTAGCAGTTAAGTCTCTTCACTTCCAATTTTTCCTTTGTCAGCTCTTCTTAACTCCTTTTTCCCTCATAAATGATTTCCACATGAAATCCAGTTTTCTGAGTTTATTGAAGTCCATTTTGTTGGTTTTATTTTGTTGTTCTTCCTTTCCTTAAGAGCTTTGATCTCTTCATTTCATTGTCTCTCTTACCAAGTTACCATTCTCCCTCATATTTTCTGTAGAATCTCAGTCTGGTTTGGGTTGTAAGGGACCTTAAAGACCATCCAGTTCCACCCCGTGCCATGGGCAGGGACACCTTCCACTAGAACAGGTTGCTCCTGGCCTTGAACACTTCCAGGGATGGGGCAGCCACAGCTTCTCTGGGCAACCTGGGCCAGGGACTCACCATCCTCACAGCCAACAGTTCCTTCCCAATTTCCCATCTATCCCTGCCTTCTGGCAGTGGGAAGCCATTTCCCCTTGTCCTGTCCCAAGTCCCTCTCCAGCTCTCCTGGAGCCCCTTTAGGCCCTGGAAGGAGCTCTCAGGTCTCCCTGGAGCCTTCTCTTCTCCAGATGAACCCCCCCCAGCTCTCCCAACCTGGCTCCAGAGCAGAGGGGCTCCAGCCCTTGGAGCATCTCTGTGGCCTCCTCTGGACTCCAGAGCAGCTCCACATCCTTCTTGTGTTAGTGCCCCAGGGCTGGAGGCAGCTCTGCAGGGGGGTTTCACCTGAGTGGGGCAGAGGAGCAGAATCCCCCCCTCCCCTGCCCACACTGTGGGATCGGCCCAGGGGACGGGGGGGTTTCTGGACTGCCAACACACATGGTCAGGCAGGTTGAGCTTCTCATCCACCCACACACCCAAATCCTTCTCCCCAGGGTTTTTCTCAATCCCTTCTCTATCCAGCCTGTACTTGTATTCTTGATTAGTCCTTCTCTGATTTTTGTAATAAAGTATAAAAAAACAGATTCAAACTCAATTCACTTGTTCCATCAGAATAAAATATGTCACTAGTGCCTTCCAGCATTTTTCCAGTGCATCTGTGTTCCTCTGTCCTTTCCACACAGATAGCTGGCCATTGAAACTCCCGGTTCTGCCAGAGCTTCTGCTTTGGATATTTCCTCTAGACGCTCAAAGAAAAAATGTTCAGTGGATCTTTTGGGTGGCCTGGAGCAGTCATGCCATGGTTCTTTCTGAAGTGCTTTGAAATCTCTGAGTTAGATGGGAATGTTATTAATTTTTACCTTGATCTTATGTTCTTTTTAGCAAGTGTTGCTTTCCATGAGCTGGTGATTTTTCCTCCAGATATTGGGATAATATCCAGAGGAAAGATCACCATATTTATTGGGACAATATCCTGGGTGATAATTGCAATAATTTACTCAGATCCTTGGAGGGTAAGGATCTGTTGTCACACTGTGGAAGATAAAAATAACAGCTTTAACCTTTTGTGTTTGAGATGGAAATGTTTACGTTCTGAAGTGATGCTTCGGGGGACTCTGAGAAGCTGCTGTATGTAGTGGGACATCAACCCATCCCCCTCTGATCCCAGGATCTGGTATCCAGAGATCTTTCTTTGTTCTCCTGGTTTATAATCCTTGGGCATGCCCTGTGTGAGGCACGGAGAGAGATAAGGAATTGCTTTCTCCCTGTAGACTCTTGTTCAAAGGAAGCTGCAGAAAATTTTCACTTTCCTGCTCTCTGTGACCATTTCTGATTACTGGTCCTGCTCTTTCTGACTCCCAGTGGGATGGTTTTAGCCACTGAAGCCCCACAGAAGGCTTTGGTTAAGCCGTTCCCTGTTCATGCATCCCAACATCCAGCAGGAACTGACAGATACCTATGCTAATCCACTTCATGTATTTTATCTCCTGCCTTTATCTCTCCATGCACTGGGTTTCAAAACAAGGCACTGTGTGAAGATCTCGAGTTTTGCAGTTGTAATGAGCCATATCTAATGAAGATGACAGCAATAAAAATATTATCAACAAGTGTGGCTTGCTAGCTCAGCAAAACAATAGTCCCCACCCTCTTTGTGTGGACGTGGAGTCTCTTCCATGGATCTGTGTTTTATCGGATAAACTTTAGCCACAAGTTTACATCCTGAGTAAGTTGTTCACAACTGCTTCAATGACTTAACAACACAGGTTCCAATTAAACCCAGAAGAATGCAGCCTCTAGAGACTGAGGTGGTGCTTGTGTGGGGATGCTGCCTAATTAAAGGTGTGAAGTCATTGACTGTGGAGCATATTGAACCACAGGGTGGATCTTATCACTCAAGGGTGGTGGAACCAGAGATATCAGACCCGAGGATTAGCATTGCTAATCACAGTTGAAAGTGTAAATAACAGTTTATAGTTGAGATAAGCTGACAATGTTCTACTCTGTCCCTCACTGTTCCAAGTGTTAGGGCATCCTGCCTTCCCCAACCCCAGTCTGACACTGGGGAAGGAAAAGTGTCATGTCTAGATAGTAAAACTTGCAGGAAATTTGGCTATGTTGGGTACTTAAATGTCTTTTTCCTTCTTTCAGCCCTCTGCCCTAATGTCGTAAATCAGCGGCACTTGAGAACCCTGAACTACCTCTTTTACAAGAGATTTGTTGAGGTATGTGCTGTGTTGTGTGGGGGGGTGAATGAGGATTTTCATTCCATTTGCATTTTGAATAACACAATTGAGATAACTGAAATGTATCAATAGTGTATGAGCAAGTTTTTGGTGTGAGTATTATGATATAAAGATGCCTTGGATCTGCCATTGGATCAGTTTGTTCTGTGAGTGAATAGTTTGTGTGTCCATTCGTGTTCCAATGCCTGGGTGTCCTGACTGCTCAGGGCTGGAGCTTCTTCCCCTCAGCTCCCTCAGTGCTCTGGGTCAGGATCAGCTCTCCAGCGTTCAGCTTCCTTCAGCCATCTCAAATAAGCAGGAACATACTGGATAAAGAGTTTTTGGGGCATTTGTGTGGGGTTTTAAGAACACTAGGTTCTAGACATTCCTCATGTCTGGGTGCTCTGTAGGCAATTTGCTTTGGTGCTTGTGGCCTGGCTGGGATAGGTATGGCCCAAACCTGCCACAGGAGTGTTTTTGTGCTGCCAGCCTTGTTACTGTGGAACAAAATGGTCCTATTTTCAGTTCCTGAACCACTCTTTGAACAAACTTTACTTCTGTCCAGCCTCCAAATTCTCTTTCCAAATCCACTGGTACTTGTGCTGGCACTGAGGGGTTGGAGGAATAAGAAAATGCCACTAATTCTTTCTGAGAAGCAGTTTTCTAGGAGGCAGCTTGGAGGTTGACTGTCTGCAGAATGACTTGAGTGTGGTTTCTCCTCCCCACTCATGAGTGCACTGAGCCAAGTCACTGCCCTTTGGATGCTCCTTGAGCTCCTGTACTGGGAACACATTTATCTCCTTAACAGGGTGGGTTTGGTGCTTCTCCTGATGGTCTGGCTTTCAGCACGACCCTGTGCCTGGGGACAGATCTTACCAGTTGAGAGTCAGATTTATTTTTTTCTGCCTCTTCTGTAAAAAACAGCTCGCACTTGTATCCAGGTGTATCCATTGAACTGTGAAGGACAAGGACCACAAGAGACTGAATATCACAGTGAAATGTTTCCATTTCTTGAATTTCGAATTCTCAAGCTGCATTTGCCAAGCTTGGAGCAGGTTTTCATCTGCAGTTCATAAAAGATTTTCTCCTTGTAGATACAGGAGATTTTTAGCAGAGTCTGAGCCCAGCAGGTTTCTCAGATGTTCCTACAGGACTATTGATCCAGTCTCCAGAGAGCCAGCGTTCAGGGAATGAGCCACCTCCCCTGAAGTGCCTGTTCTGTGTTCAGAAGAGGATTCCTTTTTGCTCTGACAGCAACAGGCAGATCCAGGCATATCTTCTTACCCCCCAGCCCCAGTACTTTGAACATGAGGATGGGGTTGAATGGTGCTGATCTGATGACACCGTTCTGGCACAGCAGGTTCTGCTCCCAAGACCTCCCGAGCCATCAGTGAAGGCTCTGAGCTGTCTTTGCTGCCTGCCAGCCTCACTGCCAGGAGAGCTGGGGAGGAGTGGGCATTCCAACCTCCTGCATCTCAGATCTTTAGTGCAGATGACATCACTGGAACAAGCTTGGTCATCCACTGCGAGTGAGCAGAGAGCATTTATCCAGGTGTGTTTATTTAGCAGAGTGGAATGGATTCGTGATCTGGGGTTCTGCTCTCTTTGGTCTTCCATTTCCTTTGTTTTGGAGCATTTGCTTGATTTAAAATATTCAAGCTGGCCAGTTACTTCCATTAAGGTACCTTTGGCAGCTGCTTCTGGACACAGTCCCTTCTTCTCAGAGCTCTTTGGTGCTCTCTGTTTACCATTCTCAGCTGTGTCTGAGCTCTGGCTAAATGGCCCCTTCATCTCACTAGTATTTAAATTACATGCTTGTGTATCTCAGAGCTGTTTTCTTTGAGGCTCTTACTCCATGTTTGCTCTTGTACCTTTCCATAAAAGTGGCACTAGCAATCCCTGTTCCTCTGCCAGCACCAAGGCTGAGGCTCATGGTCAGTCTCATGCAGCCTCTGCACTTGGCAGAGTGGAGAGTAGATCGAATCCCAAGTTTCTCCCCAAGTTTGGCTCTGAACTACATTAGAATGAGAATATTAACTTATCAGTTTCCTTTCCCAGACCTCATGATTCCAGAGGATTTTTGCTGACTTGGCTGTTGAGAAAAGTTTGTATTTTAATATTCTGAATGCTCAGCCTTGCAGAGGATCCCCGAGATGTCTCCTTTTCCTGGAGCCCATGGGATGGCTGGAGAGCTGAACAGTCTGAGGACACATTGCACATGAATTTTTATATCTTAAATGCTGTCATGTAACAGTTCTTTTGAGTTACTTTGTCCTAGCTGTGTTGTTCTGCTGTGTCCTAACAGCTGAGCTGTCCCGTGTGCTCCAGAGTGCGTTCCTCGACCACAGGTGATGCCAGTGGGTACCATGTGGTGTTCCTTTCTAGTTTGCTGTGTGGAACATCCTCCCTTTTCTGAGATGTCTCAGGAGTAATTTTGTCTTTTCAGAAAACCATGACTGAGGAGAACTGGGCAGATCATGTTCAGGTGAGTATGGATTTCCCTCTCCTGTTTTCTCAGGGTTATTTGCTTGGAGATTGTTTTAAACTGTTCAGAGTATCCAGTTGTGGATACTGTACTCCTGCTATTACAGTTCTGCCCTTTCTCATCACTTTGAAAGCATACAGCAAAACTGTACATGCAGGGAAGGGCAAAGGAGAACATTTATATTTTAATTCCTGTTATGTCTTTGTAAATGCTCTCATTTGGCTGGAGTTTTGGCTGGAGCCAAACTAGAATGTTTGGACAACACTCAGGCACATGGAGGGATTGTTGGGGTGGCCAGTGCAGGGCCAGGAGTTGGACTCGAAGACCCTTGTGGGTCCCTTCCAACTCGGGACACTCAGTGGTTCTGCGATTCTATGATCTGAATGTATCGAGTACATTCTTTTACTTTCCATTAGTGAACCATCAGTGGTTATTTATGTGTCCATGGTATCCCTGTGGAATTGCAGCCTCATGGTGTTTGCTCCTGTTCTATAACTCCTCTCAGTTGAGTTCTGCAGCCATTGGGGATTTCTGAAAATCCACTTGAAGGGTCAGCACGGGCTCCCAGTGCTAACAGCCAGCCTGGTGACTGATGATCTCAGGGGTTTGAGGTCTCTGGCACTGTTTGGACACACCAGCAAAGCGATAGGATTGTTGGGGTGTCTGTGCAGGGCCAGGCGTTGGACACAATGACCCTTGTGGGTCTCCTTCAGCTCAGGAGATTCCATGATTCTCCGATTCTAACTTCTGGATGTGCTTTGGTGTGTGAGGTGAAAGGCTTCCTGTTGATGATGGAGTGTGGGGACACCTCCCATGCCAATCACTTGTGCAGGCAGGAGGCTCAGGATACTCCCTGGGAAGTAAGTGCATGTGTGGTGCCTGGTAAAGTCACCTCCCTAGAGAGCACAGAGCATGATGGACTGTGGCAAAGGGTTGTCTTTGCTTTCCCAAAGGATTCCAATCTTTGTATTTCCTGTGTGTTGCCAACTGATCTGGTTTTCACAGCTATGTAATTATGAGCTGAGCAGTGCTGGAACTTGCCTGTTATCAGCCTGACTCCGAGTTATCAGAGATCTGCTTTGGCATCCCTTGAAAGTGATTGGAATCTGTGCCTGTGCATCTGGAGGGAACTGAAATCATCACCTGGGCAGGCTGCTGCTGCTGCTGACACGGAAAGGAGGGAACAAAGGAGAGATGTCAGAGCAAGTTTTGCTTTTCAGTGCAAGAACTAAGGTTGTCTGGGACTTTATAGGTTTTGAAAGATTGGGCTTTACAGGGGGGAATGACTCAACATTTGCTCAGAGTTTCATAGAATCAGGATCACAGACTGGTTTGGGTTGGGAGGTACCTTAAAAGCTCATCCAGTTCCACTCCCTGCCATGGGCAGGGACACCTTCCACT